GTACTATGTCGTGCCCACGATTTACTATGTCGTTCACACGATTTACTAAGTCGTGCGCACGAGATACGTTTTTATTTCAGTAATTGAAAAGGGCTTTTGGTTTTAATGGTGGTAAAGGACAACTAAAACTTAAGGGCTTTTGACCAAACGTTACATAGAAATAGTAAACATGCAGATACTTGGTAAATGACAAAGAAACCTCACATCAAACCTGTGTAAAATATTGAAAGAATAAAATCAATGATTTAACTTAAATATCACAAACATGTAGTATTAATGTAAGATCATGAAAATAAGGTTCTAGATTCTTCCACTAAAGCATCGTACCTCCGGATGTATGCTAATTGTAAATAACAATTTCGAAAATGTGTTTAAAAAGTCAAATTTTGTAAAATTAATAAAGAAGGTAATTTACACATTGCGAACGGCACTTACAATACATGTAAATAACCAAACATAGGTAAAATAAATATGCAAATAGGTAGGACTGACTACGTTAGTCACTCTGTAGAAATATGGTGGTAGATACTGTAAAATCATTCTGTTAACGCACATAAATAAGATTATATGAATCTAGGTTTCTTAGAAGTTTAGTAAATATTTCCTCCAGTTTGGTTTTTCATCCGGAGGCACGCGGGTAAAGGAACTTTAGTCAAAATACACTATAGTATACATAACATATGCATAGATGAAAACACTCCAATGATTAAAAATCACTTATAATGTTAAACTTTTAACTTTATTTTAATGGTGATGAGGATGCTATTAAAGTAATTTCTTCCTTGAAACTATTGTTGTCGTTCTTTTATCTAGAAAGATATGATATTTTCGTAGAAAAGTCATGCGAACGAAACAGTCACTATCTGTGTATGAGAAATGATATATCTACATACATGAAGATAGTTTCATTATCTTAAGTTAATTAAGGATGGGAACCAGAAAAAGCTCCTATTCTCATTACATTGTTTGATATGTGTCAGAAACTGAAACATATGACACATACAGTTATAATCAAAATATCTTAATTGTAACCGGAGATATTTTCAATTATACTTTCCTGTTGATCAGAAAATAGTTTGCCGCTGTATTTCAAAATATTGTCTAGTTTATGTTATAAACATGAGAAATGTACATGTACTTCAGTGAATTTCAATTAACACAAGTAAAGATAATTTCCGGTTATTGTTAAGTTTGGTTTTTATCGAAGCAGATAAAAATGGGCTGAATGTAATTTCGCTGTGATTTTAAGTACATTTGTACAATTATATAATTGACTTGGCATAAATATGTATTTCTTAAAAAAAACATGAAGATGAAAAAGTTTCATGATAAAAACCTCATGACACATGCTGTTTCTTGTGTGTTTGTTTAATTGGGTTTTACGTCACACCGAAACAGTATTGGTCTCATGCTATCTCTAGAGTAAATTAGTTAAAAAGGTAAATGTTATGATTGACTGAAATAAAAATATACTATGTATTTTACTACATATTTTACTTTTATATTATATTTACATCGTGTGTCTGAATGAAATAACCTTGATCTGGACATTAATTTGAGACTTTTAATAGACAAGTAACCCAATAAGGATGTAACATCATTACGGATCATCCTCAGCGAAATTATTACTTTAATCTTGGATCTTTAAATCCCAGTACTTTTTTTGTAAAATTTGATTTTCTGAAATATTTTGGTTCATCTGGAGGCGTGCAGCTTTAACAGCCAATTTTGCCTCAGAAATACTTATTTTTTTATTTCTCCTGTTACAAGTTCAAATTGCTATAAAACTATGGGGCACATCCCTAATTCCGGCACCCCCTGTATCATTTTGATGGGGAGGGGGCGCCGAAAAAGTGATCACTATTTTCATATAACAACATTTCTCAAAAAAAAAAAACAGTGTTTGGGCCCTAAATAGGGCATTTTCCTCAAAATAGAAAGGGGGGTGACAAAAACCGCCAAAACACGTCTATATGATAGAAAAGGTTAACAAAAAATTATGAACAACCTTGGAAATACCCAAACTTTAGATTTTCCATGCCTACAACTATTTTTAGTGAAAATTGTTGTTTTGGGGCATTTTTTATTTTTGATATGAAAAACCTAGGAATTACCCCAAATCTACATTTTTCATGTTTACACGTGGCCCTACAACTAATTTTGGAGAAAATTGTTGTTTTGTGGCATTTTTTAATTTTTAATTAACCTTTTACCACATATACATATTGTGAAAAATGGCCGTTTTTTTTTAAAGCCTCCTGTTACAAGTTCAAATTGCTATAAAACTATGAAAAATGCTTCAAAACTGATTAAACTTGACACAAACGTTGACTGAACCATAACCTCTGTAACAGCATGCTCAATCTTAAATTTTCTGTTACCATGGCAACAGGGGGATGTCTCAAAATAGCGAAAATCACTATTTTGCATTTGTTTTTTTTTAATTAAAACTGCATTTCAAAGTGCTGCAATTTCTCAATGCATTGAGATAGAGTAAAAGGCTTTTCAGTGTTGGTTACACGTTAATACCTTAAAATCGACCTGAGGCAATTTTTAGCCTGTCACATATCCAACATTTTCTTGGCGATGTGGGGGACTGCCGCCCCCCTTCAAACCCCCCAAAACAGAATGGGGTAATTCCCTAATTCCGGCACCCCCTGATGTATCATTTTGATGGGGAGGGGGCCTCGAAAAAGTGATCACTATTTTTAACATTTCTCAAACAAAAACAGTGTTTGGTTCCTAAATAGGGCATTTTTTACCGTTTGAGGCCTCAAACAAAAGGAGGGGGGGGGGTTGACAAAAAAGCCGCCAAAACACGTCTATATGAGGGAAAAGGTTAACAAAAAATTATGAACAACGTTGGAAATACCCAAACTCTAGATTTTCCATGTTAACACGTGGCTTTACAACTAATTTTAGTGAAAATTGTTGTTATGAGGCATTTTTATTTTTAATTAACAAATAATGATGAAAATCCTAGGAATTACCCAATATCTAATTTTCCATGTTAACACGTGGCCCTACAACTAATTTTGGAGAACATTGTTGTTTTGTGGCATTTTTTTATTTTTAATTAACCTTTTACATTGTACCACATATACATATTGTAAAAAATGGCCGTTTTTATTTAAATATTTTGTAATAAAACATGTTATGTTTACATTAAATTTTCCATTTATGTCGAGATACTGTATAAAGACCAACGACTATCTAATATATGTTTATATATGCTTTATACATGTTTGCATTTTTTTCTCTTGCTTTATTTAATATATCAACTTGAAACTTGATATGTACAGTGCACAAGGATGACAACTTTTTTAATTTTTGAGTGATTGCATTGTGTTAATTTCATGTTCCAAATACTAAGATCTAAAGGATACACAAATAGAAAGAGTGCAGGGTTCAATATTGAGAAGGCATACATTGTTGATAAAAATATAACATTGAGCATGACCCACGGAGGACGATGGCACGATGGTGAAAACGCGATGGCACGATGGTGGAAACGCGATGGTACGATGGTCAAAACGCGATGGTACGATGGTGAAAGCGCGATGGTACGATGGTCATTACGCGATGGTACGATGGTGAAAGCGCGATGGTACGATGGTGAAAACGCGATGGCACGATGATGAAAACGCGATGGTACAATGGTGTAAGCGCAATGGCACGATGGTGAAAACGCGATAGTACCCGATGGGGGAAAGCGCGATGGCACGATGGTGAAAACGCGATGGCATGATGGCGAAAACACGATGGCGTGATGATACGATGGTGAAAACGCAATGGTACGATGGTGAAATCTTGATGGTACGATGGTGAAAACGCAATGGCACGATGATGAAAACACGATGGCGCGATGGTGCGATGGTGCGATGGTGAAAATGCGATGGCACGATGGTGAAATCGCGAGGGTACGATGGTGAAAACACGATGTAACATCGCGTTTTCACCACCATACTATCGCGCAATTGCGATTTCACCATCGTACCATCGCGTTTTCATCATCGTACCATCGTGTTTTCACCACCGTACCATCTAGCCATCGCGTTTTCACCATCGTACCATCGGGCATCGCGGGTACAGACTAAATAAAAAGTCACGATTGTCCAAACGGAACAACGTACATTTTTCATTAGCGCGCCAAAAGTGTAACGCTTACATTTAGCGCGTCTTTACGTAATAATAAGAGCATCAAAACACGAATCTATCTGATTTGTACGAGGGGGCGTAGTCCCCGAGTATTAAAAAGATTGTCGAGTGTTTCGATGTCCTTTCTTTTATATCATAGTCAAACATAAAAACGCGTTCTCTTTTGCCCCAGAAAAAAAGTAACCAATAAACGAGCATCTGAATATGATAATTATATCGCTTTTCCTTTCTCTGTGGTCCCAATACGTGAACCCCTGCAAAAATGAGCCAATCAATGGGCATGTTCTGGCGTGTGGGTAACTAATACCTGCACTCCAGTTAACGCATTGTGCATGTATATGTGAACGATTTAACTCTGATATCTTTTTCAACAGAAAGGTCCCCAAACTATGATACAAACTATATTTGTATAACGCAAACTACCTCACGTCAAAATATATGCACGGCCCTGCAATAGCATTTTTACGGAGTCGAAAAAGCAGCATGGATATGACTTGTGATCAATTTTATTAATCTTTTAAATAAGGACTGGATTCATTCTTTGACAAATGAACGCATCTGACATAACTAATTAATTCAAATGTGACCTTGAGCTTTGAATGTCTTTTACGGTTAATGTCAAATATGAAATTGAAATAATTTTATTTGCTCGTTTTTGTTTGGGTTAGTCTATACTACAATAATTTTCCTCCGATGTATTTTACATTATAAGAAAAATGTTAACCGTTGCCCCCGATTTGCCGTAGCTCTTGTTTCTAATTTATTGAATTCCTTGAAAATAGTAAATAATGTCCTGCGCGAAATTAACCAATCCGCTTTGACTTACATAATTTATTTTAAGCGTCCTCACTGAAAAGTGGTTGAAATCACATAAACAGTTTACTTAAGGCAGGTTTTTTTCTTTGTTTATACGCACTAACATGACATACTTGTGCTAGCTATTATATTCATCCTGGCATCATATATATGTTTTTCTTTCAATATGTGAAATTATTCATCCACTCAACAAAGGAACAATTTATGTGTAAACAGAAAATGTGTCGTGTAGAATGGCGATAGAGGTAAGTTTTGTATAATTACCATAAACTTAATGGTCTGGTGGTCTTTAGCTTAAAAGTGGATAATTGGGATGGGTCTTAATTCTGGATCATGTAACTATTGACATAAAGAATAAAATATTCCGTTATCTTAAAAGATGGTCTTAATAACGGGATGGTCTTAAATCTGGGTTGGTTTGAAGTAGGGATTATAGTGTATAAATATCTTTAAGCCAGCGAGAAATCACTTTATCATAGACTGTCGCGGGCAACTTACAAAGTCGTGAGATTTCCTGCCAAAATTGTACAAAATGTCGGGTTCATTGTATAAACTTCCATATTTTAAAACAGTTGTTGGAAACAGCATGAAACATTTTGACTCCAGTGGCAGGTAGCGTGCTTGGTGTGACTACACTTTCTGCTTTGTTTGCCTATTAAAAGTCAAGGAACAGAAAGAAATCCACGACATTTTTTTTTTGCAAGCGTTCTTGGAACTTCATAAAAAGTTGTATGAAAAATGAGAGATCGATATTTTTTGTTCCTCAACAACGGTCTTATAAAAAAAAATAATGGTGAGTAATAGCAATTTTAAGACGCGACTTTTTAAAGAGATATTTCCAGGAATAAAATGTTGAGGCTAAATGCTTAAACTCGAATCTTTATAAAATGTTACATCAAAACAAGATATCGCGGATATTAAAGGCCGCAATTTGCTACCTAAAGTAGGCATATGTTTGCGTTGCTTAGTCTACTATATGGGTAGAAAATAGTTTCTTTCGTAAACTCGACAGAAGTGCGGAAGAAAAACTCTCGAGTTTCTATAAGCCGCGACATTTTATACAATTTCGACATACGAAGTTGCCCGCGACATTTATTAAACTGATGTGAATGTAATAAAATGCAGTTAATATCAGCGCATTTCATTTTCTGTTTAAATGACTTGTTACATGAAAAAATTTTTAATAACAAAGTTGAGCCCTTTTAGAAATTTTCGATATTCCAAAATATTTGTGCCACATGATATCACTAATGGAAACATATACAATGTCAAAAACCATTAAATTATTAAAACTTTAGAACAAATTATCGACCCACAACGCTAGTATATGAATAAGGTTTAAATAATATGCTATCTAAATTACAATTGTATTATTACACATAATACACATCAAGCATATCTTTACCGGAAGGTCACTATCCTATGAGAGAAATAATTGAAAAAATAAATTGCAAATTGCAACCTTCTGATATAACAAAATTAAATAATCTATATCTGCTTTTGTGAACCGACTTAATACATTCCGCCTACTTCCGTACTTATTTTAAATTTACAAATGACATAAAGTACAAGATATTTTTATTCAAATTATTAAAACTCATTCATAATGCTCTATTTTTTAAGCACCTAAAGTGCGAGCGATGGCTTGATGTTAAAAAATGCATATAACCTGTGGAATGCACTTTGGGGTTTGACACTTAAGATAGTTGACACTAACGAGATAATAAGGTGGTGCGCATGATATACTATGTCGTGGCCAGGAGTAACTAAATCGTGCGCACGAGATACTATGCCGTTGCCACAAGTTAGTAAGTAGTGGGAACGATAAAATGAGATGGTGCGCAAGAGATACTATGTCGTGCGCACGAGTTACTTAGTCATGCTTACCAGATAATTATGTGGTGCGCACCATGAACTATGTCGTGGTCGTGGGCTTCTTAGTCGTGTGCACGAGATAATTAAGTCGTGGGCACGAGTTACAATGTGATGCGAATGAGATAGTTAAATCATGCGCACAAGATGATTCACAAATCAGATAACGATCTATATATATATAACCTTTAAAACTTCCTGCATGCTTTAAGTTGTAAATGCAACATAAATCTTTAAAACTACTGAAGCATTCACTTTTTGTTTGGTACATGCTCTAAGGATCATATCAGGAGATCACTATCCAAGGCCCATAATTTATACTTTAATTTTGACTATGTTTAGTCCCTTTGTGAGACATTCCTCTGATAGGTATGATCAGTATGTATACATACTGATGGTCTGTTAGCCTTGCTTATACGATAACTTGAGAAGGAATAAGCCCTTGTTTATTACATTTAGTAGGAACATTGCCAACGGCCAGTAGATGACTTACATTGATAATTGAGGTCATAGGTCAAGGTAACCATGACACTTCATAAAAAAATTCTTGTCTGATGAATAACTTGGTATATAATCCATTGGTTGTATTACCTTGTATGTACTTTGCACCTGATTAATAGATTACACTTTATGTTATTGAGGGCATTGAGTAAAAAAATCAGTGTCACAATGACACTAAGTGAAACATAATTGTCAAATCAATAACTTTTATAAATGACACTGTGACAGGCAAAGGAAATAGGGCCAGCATTGTATTATTGCACATTTGTAGGTAACTAAGAAAATGCAAAGATATAGTGTAATCTGTTTGATTAATTATCTCGTTTCTACATATTGCCTCGTGCCCACGACTTAATTATCTCGTGCGCAAGACTTAGCAAATCGTGGCCACGACATAATATCTCGTGCGCGCAACTTAACTATCTCGTTCCCACGACTTTGTTACTCGTGCCCACGACATAGTATCTCGAGCATACGACTTGGTAACTCGTGGCCACGACATAGTATATCGTGCGCCACTCGATTATTTCGTTCCCACGGCTTAGTAACTCGTGGCTACAACATAGTATCTTGTTCGCATGACTAAGTAATTCGTGGCCACGGATAAGTATCTAGTGCGCACCACTTATTACCTCGTTCCCATGACTTATTTACTCGTGGCCACGGTATAGTATTTCGTGCGCACTTCCTAATTATTTCATGCGCACGACTAATTACCTCGTGGCCATGACAAAGTATATATATATATATATCGTGCGCAAGAGATAAATAAAAACGCACAAATGTCAACTCTTTTTTTACCGTAAAAGTCGAATGAAAAGTACGTTGTGTATAACTGCATGAACGTTCTTAGGAATTGGACCAAATGCTTTTCATTGCACTCTTATCCTGTGACGTATTAGTTACAATAACTACATCAGATATATTGTTTTTCCATCTAAGTCAAGACTATATTCTATTCTGTTGCTGAAACATCCTCTCTTACATCCCGTGTAAGACAATTTGTGTGCCCAAACTGACCTTATTTCACCGCGGATTTTATGAATTAATTGCGTTTTAGAATGATGTCATTGTTCCGTTATAGATAACGTTGTAAGTTCATGCGCTTTTATAAGAAAAGGTACTAACAAAAATATGAAGTTTTCATAATTTCTTTTCGGAAAATAGAAAACATGTCTATAAATATGCAAGAAAAATAACCAAGAACCGGCTATCGTCAAAGATCTTTGATGTTTAGAGGAAACTTTAGCACGGTCTTTCTGCCGCTGTAAACAGATACCCACGAGCTGTATATTAAGGTCCGTACCGACAGACAATGTAAAATCCTTTTAACATTATAAACTGTGTGTACAAATGAACCAGATTTGAGAACTGAAGCTAAATTATAGTATTAGAAAAGTAGATCAATTGATGATCATTTTAATTATCAAAAGACCAAGGTCCATACACGAAACTCAATATCCGAGGTCAATTTCAAGAGTTAAGATAGAACACGCACAGGTCGTAGAGAATAAAAGCTTTTGGTTATTATACAAAACGTCTACCTAACTAAACTAACACCGAGGAATAACCATTTCAGTCCAGATAACTTTTGCTGAGTACCAAAAGTCAGTATTACGAGAAGTTATTATCACATTTCGTTATCACGATTATTTTAGTCCCGATGACTTCAAAAAACGAGAGTCGACTGTACATTATATACATTCAATCTCTAGTTTTGAGAAAAGGATATTCAAATGTGCCATCAGAGGCTTATCTATGTAAAAAAAACGGTGTTCAACACTGATGACAATCATTTTATTAATTGCATTTGTAGAAGTCCACAACATTATAAAAGCTCTGAACTGTAAAGTTTTAAGCCATGTAGTTTTACACAATACTCTCATATGTGTCAGTCTATATCTATATGAAAACTAGGTAATGTTACACATCAAATATTTAAGCTTTGTTATTTTTGAGGAGGACATTCATTAATATTAATTTCCTTTTGCTTGCCATGTTATGACATGTATGAAGCATGGTCAGTTGTCCGCATAGTCTTTATAAAATCTACATTGTCTTTTTAAAATCATCTCTCCTTAACCGCATGTTAGATTGTTACCAAACTTCACATAAATGAATATTTGCTTGTATTCTAAAAATCAAGACTTTCAAAATATATGCCAAAGTAGCTGAAAGTCCTTTTAAATGACGTGCTTTACTAAGGAATGCATAACCAAATAGATATTCTTGTGGTCATGTGCTAAAGGTATATAAGATATGCCACTGATATTAAAATGTGAGTCCCTAATTTGATATAACCGTATAATCTAATCTGGAAGTACAATGCATTGAACTAATGTTCATGTTGCTTTTTTCTACCGGATCCCTTTAAGTATTTATACAAATCTTACAGCTGGGAGTAATATCACATCATATTTGACCTTATAACTTACATATGCAAAACATTGTACACGGATGTATATAAATATCACGTCACTAATCATTGTGTGCTTGCGTGATTTTTATTTAAGTATTTGAACTTCACGGTCAAGGTCATTGATGAGTAAGATCATGATAAATTTTATTTAAGTGTTACATCCGGCTTGTCTGCATTTTAGAGCGTTAAGGTTAGGCTTAAAACGTAAAAGTGTTTGTTTCCCCTTTCACTATACGTTCCAATAAAATAAATAACTGCAAAAAAAAATATATAATATGAAAAAATATAAAAAGCACGAATTTTGCCGATTGTGCAAAATATTTGACAGACAAATATACTGTAAACTAATTCTGAACACAAGACAACCGCTATGCGGATGCACGAAAGTGTTTTTTTTTTTATTAATGAAGAAGCACTTGTAAGACACGGAAATTAGATAAAGTATTACCTCTTTCAAAAAGCAATCCTCCTTTTTGGCTGTAAAAGCTTCATATATATAAACTTGCATCCAAAGCACCGAGATCAAGTGCTTCTCTTGTAAGTAAAAATGCTACGATGGATCGACACGTAGACGCCAGGGGTATAACATAATATAAGCAAATATTTTAGGGCATATAATTTATATTCTCAATATAAGTGATCATCCTATGACGTTTGACAGTTGTAAAACTGTTAACAATATTTAGGTCATTTGATATTGACCTTTGACCTTGTTACCCCAATATAGATATGGATCTATTATTAAATATAGGCAATCATTCTATGAAGTTTGAACACTGTAAACCAAATGGAACTTGTGTTATGCTAAAACAAAACACAATTTTTAGTGAAAAGATCATTGTGATCCTGACCTCTGACCTTATGACCCTACAATCAATAGGAGTCATGTTTTTGACTTGGCTGTTCATCCTGTAAAATTTTACAGCTTTAGGTTGATTACTATTTAAGTTATGAAGCGAAAAATGTTTTCAGTTTTAAGGTAATAGTGACCTTGACCTTTAACTTTGTGACCTTAAAATCAATAGGGGTCTTCTGTCTAATATGGACAATCATTATATGTAGTTTGAATATTGTGGGTCAAATGGAATTTAAGTTATGCTCCGGAAACTGTTTTCAGTTTTAATGTAAAAGTGACCTTGACCTTTGACCTTGTGACCCCAAAATCAATAGGGATCTTCTATCTAATATTGACAATCATCCGATGAAGTTAGAATATTGTGGGCCAAATGGAACTTAAATTATGCCCCGGAAACCAAATTGCTAACGGACGGACTGATAGACAGACAGACAGACAGTGGGTATAACATAACATGCCCGCAATTCTTTCTGGAATATAAAAAGGAATGAGCGCATTTGGCTGCTTAACATTATATTTTAAGTGTGACTATAAACATTTACAGGACAAGATCATATTTTAGAAAATGTACGCTAGCTACAAGCAGGTTACAAGCATGCCGGGAAGAGTTTTCTGGTTTCCTGTCTCATTACGGTACTCATTCAAACTGAAATTTAGAGAATCTTTCTTTTTACCATCAATACTTTTATCAAGATTGGCGAAAACAGAAAATACACCAAAATGAGACTCCAAATGCGTTCATTGTTTTTTGTTTTTTGTTGTTGTTTTTTTATTTCTTATTCGTAAGACACCTAAAAATTGACTGATTTTAGTATGTGGAACAATTTACAATACATTCAAGGAAAACAAGAATTCTTAACGCAACTAATAAGACAAATAGAATAAATAGTGTGAGTGAATATTTTGCCCGGAAGTTTGCAGATGTGTAGTAAAAATTGTGCAACCGATGTTGTATATATAAAACATTATGTCAAAGAGCTCGCTTTGAGGCTTTGCATTATTTATATTATATTCTTCTTTCCTTTGACATTTGTCTAATGTTAGCTAAATGTGTAAGGATTTCAAAACAATTATGTCACATACATTGTACTATAAAACTTAAAATAAATCTTATTCAAATATGGGTCGCACTCGGAAACCACCTATTAAACCCTCGAGGTTCATAACAACCTCTTAATTAATACGGATTGAAAGCATTTCTACCACGTTCTTTTAGATGTACACAAAAACAGATAGTGTAATAATTGTTTATATATTTGACCTTAAAAGAAAACTTTAAGTATATTTTCGTACAAGTATGAATGAAAATATGTCTGACAATCATAATAAATTTGAAAATGCCCACTAATATACGAGTATAACCAAATCAGAATTAATGTCAACAGGTAGACATTTCGTAATTTCTACAACCATAACGATAAGTATATAAACAATGTTCTGTTTACTTTTATATCAGTTCTTGAATTGACTTAAATTTTGTTTGATTTGTATCCGATGTACTTGAATGAATTAGCGAAGCAAATATAAGTATTACATTACTATTTGTTTACATGTTTAGTTACTTAGCGTAGGTCAGGTCAAAGTACCTTATCCGTTTTATGTATTCTTACTATTGTGTTCGAGGACCTTATACGAAATTTGACGGAAAGTACCGAGAAGATGCGAATGGCTTATCGCATAGCAATTATAACCTCCCCGACTGCCATTTTAGGGGTAATTTTCATTATGTCATATGCTTAAAATAAGATAAAAAGTCTCTTTCAAATTGGTACTATAATTATATGCTGATTCCCAGATTATATAACTGTGTTCTCAACTGATGGAACCAAGTATCATTAAACAACATGCCGCGTATCCTTAAAAATTGGAACCTTCAGAACTGTTCTCAATATTAACTCATCCGTTCTTGAAATTACAATTTAAGATGTGGAGAATAAAACAGCACCTTTAAAGGCACATTAAGTCTCTCTATTTCAAAACATGCGCTAAGAGCATATTAAAATATCACTGAAAATTTATAGTCCTAAATTTGAAATAATTTTTATACAAGTACCAAATGTAAACAAAGTGGTATGTTATTTATTTTTAGTTCGATTGTGAAGGAAACTTAACACAGTCTCGAATGCGTTCTTGGAACCAACCAGTACTAAACAATGAGTGTTAAGTTTCTTGTTAAGTTTCCCTGTTAAAACAATACTACACAATTTTTTTAAGTGGAATATAGTGAAATCACTTATCATTAAACCGGACACTCTTATAAAAAGATAAAAGTTGACATTTGTTTGTTTGTTTTAGGTTTGACGTCACATCGACACAGTATAGGTCATATCGCGACTTTCCAGTATTACTGGTGGAGGAAGACCTCAGGTGCCCTTCCGTGCATTATTTCAGGCACGAACGGGCACCTAAGGAGAACCACCGACGTTCTAAAAATTGTTCTAACCAAGGGAACTATATCGTTCTCGTAATCCTAACCAATAAAGTGAAATAGAAAGAGTTATTCCCCTTGTTGAAAATTTTTGAAACAGAACTTAGAGTGGCTTATAGATGAACTTTATTTAGACATCCGTTCTGTGTAAAATTTTGGTTCAACAAACTGTCAGGGTTAATTATGATGAATCCTCTGTATCATTTTTTGTACCAGACACCTTTGAAATGTGATACCAGACAGTGCATGCGGAGATATAGAAATTATTTAATTGATTTTGGTGCAAATTCGCAAAGTTTAAACCAAAAATTTCCCGTTGGGTTTGCGTAAGCATGCAATGAAAGTGATAATAAAATGAATGTTTTATTCAAATAATTGAAAAGCTGTTTATGATCTATATTTATTTGGGAAAGGTACGCAAATTGTCTGAAGCACTGTCAGACATGTCTCATTGTGATCTAGTTATTTAATTCTGTATTTAGAAATGATGCCAATTTCTAACTTTTAATCTCAGGGAGGGATCTAGGGCCAATATGACCAGTTTGTGATAGTGACCGTGTCTTCATTGTTAGTCAAAGGTCACGGATCATTTACTCGGCCGAACTTTCTTGGTATGGAACTGTTTATGTTCAGTCGTAGTTTAAATTGGTTTTCCTTGATTTCTACAAATGTAGCTAAAACTTATTATTTTTCTAGAAATCATGATGGCGCACGAGATACATTTAAAGAACAACAAATACCGACAGTGGGTCAAGGCAGGCGTAGGCTTAGGTTACCTGAAAGAGGGACTAGCACCATTTTGTGATGACATTGGAAAACAGCACCACAAAGATATTATAAACCAAATTCAAGTAACAAAGACGCCTAAACCAAATATACCATGTGGCGTCTGTCAGATATCTACTCTCCAGCCAGACCACGTCCGAATCTCAAAAGGAATATGTCCACTCAAGCAAGATAAATGTAACTGTTGCTTTCCAAATAATAAAAAACCATGCCCAAACAACGTGTGTGGTGCCATCTATGATAGCATTATACAGAATCATGCATCAATACCACCGGCACCTTTTTGGAAAAACAGCGATCCCCATGATTGGTCCGTTGACCCATGGAGTATATGTAAATGTTTTATAAATGCTCCTGGGTACAAGGACAAGACGTCAGCAGTCGACATGGACTGCACAGGGTTACTACATGTTATCATAAATAACAAATACTTTCATAATCATATTGGATGCAATGTAACAGGACCAAAAAATCTTTTTTCAAAGGTAAGTCCTTTTGTATACTCTTTATAAATGTTTAAATTTGTTGAATACTATTATCATAAGAATTAAATCATTACTGCACCAAGGTGACGATAATCTCTTTTATTTTGAGAAAGTTTGATACTTTCTTATTGAATTTAAATATAATTAACCCATTACTGCATTTAAGTGACGTTATGTCCATAAATCCATGAAGGAGATACAGTTATTTTGCCAGAGTTACAATTAGCCATAATGATTGAAAATTTGTTATGTAACACATTTTATTGTGATTAGGTATAACAGTTTAAGCTTGCCTTAAAATTGACCATTGAGTCAACAAACTGAACAGAAATTTTGATCAGCACTTGAACTTAGGGTTTCACATGTGGACAACTTCACTTTACCGTTTCCGTTCTTTGCATTTTTGTCCCCAACCTTTTCAAGAAAAATAGCGGGATCTAGAAATAGACTCCGCTTGTCTGTCTGTCCGTCTGTCCTTCTGTTACATGTCATGTCCAATCAATAACTATGTCTTTTATCAAACTAATTTTAAATAACTTGGCAGAAATATTTTTAATAATAAGACAATGTGTCATGCGCAAAAGCGGACCCCTACCTCCAAGGTAAAGGTCTCACTTGGTAATTAAAGGTCAACACTGTCTATGAGAGGGTGTATGTCATGTTCCAATCCATAACTTTCTTATTAATGGAGGGATTTTGATAGTACTTTATACAAAAAAATTCAAAATGAAAAAAGTATGTGTTCTGCTCAAAAACCAGTCGCCTACCACCAAGGTCAAGGTCACAAATGAAGATCATTTTTTAATGTATTAATTACTACTGGCATGTCCAGATCTAGCATTGATCCAATTTTGCACTGAAAGTCCAGATCATATCTCAATCTTTTTAAATAACACAATTATGTGTTTCATGTAAAATTCTCTAATGTGGGGGACGTTTGTAATTATGTTAGAAATTCTTGTTTTTTGTGTTTGATGTATATTGCTTAACAGCTATAATTTTAACTAAGTCCTGTTTAGTCTCTTTGTTGCTCACAGCATAGATATGTGTGTATATTCGACTTGGATTTGTTTTCCATTTAATAGGTACGGCAGTACAGAAATGAGATTTTTCACTCCAGCAATATGGAGCTAGAGGAAAGGGTGGCAAACGCATACATTGATGATATGATAACAGTTTTACAAGATGGAAAGGAGCTTCTACACCACCAAGCTGCTCAACAAGCTGTCGGGAAACTCCAAGATGTAAGTATAAATAGTGAATTACGTGTATAAGTTTGAAAATCTGAAGAAGTTTAGTTATGACTTAAAATATCACATCTTTTAATTCCAGACATATTATTATAATAAGGGTAATTGAAAAAAGTGCTCGAAAGTGGTTGTTTTATCATAGTCCTTTTTAAGAAACAACCGCCTTAAGTTAACATACAATGATAAAATCAAATAAATATGAAATATATATGTCTTTAAAATATTAATATTAGATGAATATATTTTTAGATAAAAAGTGAAGTAAAAGGCCTGACTATCAGATATATTTACCACACATCATGTTACAAAAGCGAATTCTAAGTCCTCAGAAAAAGTACGAGAGATGAAAAAAACGACAATTTAGTTAATTTGAAATCAAGCCTTATCTTATATAAAATAGTTAGGTAAATAACATAAATCAAATAGCTGCAACTTTATCTCTGATAGAAAATTTACCAAAATTGTTATTTTCATCAGTTAAAGAATAAGGACTTCATTGTTACTACGGAAGGCTTTGAAGAAATGCTTAGACAAATTAAAGAAGAAATGTCAAAAGTTATGAAATCAACAGAAAATGCTACAACTGATTTGAAAGAGGAATATGACGAGCTTAAAAATAAATTAACGGACATTGAAAGACAGATATCCAAAGGAGAAGAGGTAAGATTTAAAGTTACTATTAATTTTGTCCGATTGATATACCAGAACACGTACAAGCAAAAATGTTTAAAGGAAACTAAGTATAGTAGAACAGTACTATTAGCTTGCGCTCAATAAAGTTAGCAAGTTTTGGTGTGTTTTTGTGATACCCGTTGTGTGTTGTTATCCACATTTTAATAATAAAAGTCAATATAACTGTTACTAAAGATAGACAAAAGTGATTTCCAGACAGTAACTATAGAAAAGAATTATATATTGTAATAAAAGTTGAATGTAAGAAAGCTTATAAAAAGAAATAACAAGGCATTGATGTTGGACCCGGCAGGTTCGATGATAAGGTCACAATTTCGTTAAATGGATAATTTGTTTCTGGTATGAAATTTAATTGTAATAATAATTTTAGCACTGATGTAACAAAATAAAATATAAAACAAGTTCAAATTTTGTTTAGTCTTTTGTCACTTCAAAAAGTTAAGTTGGTTTGTAGGGGTATCAGTCATCTTTAGTGATAGCTCTAATTGAACAGGTTTGTTTCATAAGTAAGTCTCAGAGCTAACAATTGATACTAAAAATATGCATGTATTTTAAAATGAATGAGGTATAAAGCTTTGGTATTATGTAACATGATCTAGGGGTCCTCTACAAAAGATGTTAAAATGATGCCTCAGCTGTTAAAATTGCCATTGTTCTATTGTCATGGAATTTCCTCATAATGTTTAAGCAAACATTGAAAATATATTATCTAAAAATCCCACGGTTATAGGATATATATTTTAGCACACAACTACCAAGATTGTTCAAATTATGACTCTTGGTTTTTAAGATTGACCCTGCCGTGGTTGGCCATGTGTTTTCTATTAATGTACAGTATACATGTTTAGTAAAAGTTTGCGATTGACTCAGTTAAGATCGTTGACTTAAAAAACCTCGTTATGGGTTTAAATGCAATCAAGGACTTTGGATGTTTTCCTGAGGGGGGAGCTGTACAGCTAGCTTATGGAACGTCGGCGGTTCTACTCACATGCCCGTTTGTGTCTGAAATAATGCACTGCTTGGCAACTCTGATCCCCTTTTATTTAGTTCCGCCAATTGTTTTCTCGTTCAGGGAACCATTCCACCATTAACGTAATTAAATGTTGAATTCTGCTTTAGCCGGTGCTAGTGGGTTTGAACGGTAAATTTCACTTTAAATTACCACACACGAATAGGCTTAATCAAATCAAGTCTGCCACATTTACAATTTTGCAGTTTTGTACGTCCTTTATGGATTCTTTATTTCTGTCTGTTTTGGCACCTGAAGTCTTCCTCCACCAGTAAAACTGGAAAGTCGCCACATGACTTTTACAGTGTTAGTGCAGAGTAAAACAAACCATATAATCAAAATGATCTTACTCTAAAACAAAAAGAACTAGAGCTTAGACATTTGACATGAAACATAAACTAGTACGCCTCTACTAGCCTAGCTAGTTGAAGCGAGAGTGTTTTAAATCTAAAGTATGAAAATGATTAAAAGTCTTTTTCGCTGAAACAACCATTGCTTCTCAAGGTTGTGAATACATCTGTATATGAACTAAAAAGTGGGTACATTGTATATTGATAAAAAGTGACATTAACCTCCCATTTGACATTGACCTTATTAAGGCTTTCACAGTCTTTGTCAATTTGTTTTATTCTGCTTAAATTACAGTAAGTTTGTAAGACAGATTTGATTCATACTTTGACAAAATGCACTTGTGACAACACCAAGTGGATACAATTTTGATCTTTAACTAATCTTAACTGTTTACAGTAAATTTCAACATGTCGGCATAAACCATGCGATAGATTGTGAACAACCTTTGTAAACAAATGATCCTATTCTAAACATTTACAAATTGAAATGAGTCAGATGAATTTCTTAAGAAAGTTAAATAATTTTAATAAAATGTATGTGCAATTGCACCAGAAATGTCGGGAAAATTCTTCTTCAGGAATAAATAATTCGTCCGTAGCAATAAAGCTGATTTTCTATGAAGGAAATTAAATTGTCTCAGTACTAAATCAGTCATATTTCAATTCGATGTTTTTGTGATAAGTTTGAACACTGTGTGTAAGACAGACTGAAAATACCAATATCTTTATACAAAACACATTTATGAAAGTTACCGAATAAAATACAATATTTGTATCATTATTTCTGTTGTAGGAGAAACAAAGACTCAAGGAAGAAGATTCTTCTAAACAAAGAGAACTAGAATATGAAAAAGCTAAATCAGGTATGCTTATATCTCCTCTCCTAATGCAAAGCGGTCTCCGTCCGTGTGTGCCTCCGCAATAGCAAAAACAGGCGAGGCGCCATCAAAATGTAAACATAACAAATGAGGAAAAATTATAATTCGTTATAAAACAATAGAGTAAAAAGCCAATGACACTCTTAAACAAAAATAATAACAAAGGAAATAAACCATTTTCCTTTTTCAATCGCCTGTGTATTTGTCCGTCCTATTTGTTTTAGAAACAGTAACATTTACAATGACCCCAAGGAGTTTCAAAAGCAATCCCAGCTGGGGTCTTGATTGTAGGCTTGCTATATGCCAAGTTTGATATTTCATTCCTACTTCTAATTAATGTCCGAAATTATTTTACTTTTGTTTTCGTAATAAATAGTCACCTTGACCAAGGGTGGACCAAAAGCAATATCATGATTAATTTTGGGTTATGGGGCTACACGTTTTTGCACGGAGATGCCAAGACAACAAGGCAGCAATCATTGTTGTCAAGCTAAAACAAACCATTTCTAGCAAGACGTCTATTAAGTCTGTATGTTTAATAAGCAAACAACAATTATGTAATTAATATTTTTAACCATCTGAATTTCATTTACCAATAAGTCTGACACTTAAATGTTTTTAATTTTACTGCAAAAGTGCATATTACACTGGATAATAACGGGGCATAAACAGTTTATATAAATATGTTTATTAATGGCTTGGATATTGTGCATTTATTATCACCAATGCTACTCTGGGACATGTGTTACATACTTTAGGAGGACAAAGATACGAGACAACGCCCTCTTGTTTATTTTGTATCATAGATGTAACATAGAACATATTTAGTGTTAAATTAGCTTTAGCTGATGAACAATGTTAATCACATATATGTATATGTTAATAAAACATACAGAAGAACTAGAGGTCTAGTTATAAGTGTGTTGTTCAAGCTTGACTGCAGTCACGCTGACTTGCATATTAATTCCAAAACGTCATTGTGTCCATTTTCCAACACAAATCTTGGAATACTTAACTTGCGTATCACGACAAGAATTAGGTAAAATACAATCGGCCAACATTCTGACAGCTGATTTTGGAGCCATGCTTTCTTCTTTCTTACATTTTGTCGATTCTGTGCTTAGAAGTAGAATGATTTGAAAAGTACTAAGGTATCAAGAGGAATCTTGGAATTCTTTATTATAATGAGTGAAACAAAATACATTAACCTGAAATGGTTATGTAGAGTGGCGTTTCTTCTCTACATAAACATTTGTAAAAGTGGACAGTGATTGAATACTATCAACGATGTAATCCGCATTCTTTGCTAAATAATGCAGACAAGCAGTTCTGTATGCCAATACATACAACTTTACTTTGTAGTTTCTGATAATGGACATATTTGGTTTTTACTTGGACAAACCAAAAATTTGTGACACCACCAACTATGTTAGTTTTGGCTTTAATCTGTAACTTCGCCTTTTGCATGTGTGAAAAAGGACCAAGGACACTTTTAAGTGTGCTGCTAGAGTTATGTCCCATTTTCACAGGGAATGCAGGTCATATTTTTTCTCAATGAATTACATTCATACTTGAACACAACAACACTCATAACAATACTTTAAGTTGACCAGTCTGCACTTGACCCTCAGCCATGAGTCAAATTGTTGAATGTTGCTTGATTTTAGATACAACTGGCAATTACTTTGTAATTCATAAATGATTTGTTTATATGCATGGACACAACAATCCATAGGCAAATAACTTCATGTAGACCAAATGATAAGGACTTTCCCTCATGAATGACTTTGACATTTAAGATCAAATCATTGATTGTTTCTATATGTTTTTATTTCGCTATGAATTTGTTATTTATGAATGGATTGTCTCCAAACATAACAATTCTAATCTTTGATATTTGCTTTTAATTCAATTTCCTGTGTTATTGTTTAATATTAGGATTTTAGTTGAACAGTTATTTCAATTAATAATTAAAATACATTATCTTTAAATGCGCAATGCGACTAAACTGCCTTTCAGTTGTGTATTTTTTAAAAATCCTAGCGGTCAGACCTCCATTGACTTACACTTGTGGTGAATTCGAGATAACATATCTTCATATAAATTGAAATTATTGTAATGAGAGCTCTCTTTCCTTTAAGAGTACATATTGTGTATAAATTGCTTGTGTCGGCAAGAAGGATGTAACGGTATATATAGCTTGTGTCTGCAAGTAGGATGTACGGTATATATAGCTTGTGTCAACAAGGAGGATGTACGGTAAATATAGCTTGTGTCAGCCAGAAGGATGTATGGTATATATAGCTTATGTTGGCAGGTTGGATGTACAATATATATAGCTTTTGTCGGTTAGTAGAATGTATGGTAAATATAGCTTGTGCTGGCAAGTAGAAACGGTGTACACATGTTTTTGTCGGTTAGTAGAATGTATGGTATCTATAGCTTGTGCTGGCAAGTCGAATGTATGTACGGTATATATAGCTTGCGCCGGCAAGTTGGTTGTACGGTATATTTAGCTTGTGTCTGTAAGAAGGTCGTAATGGTATATTTAGCTTGTGTCGTCAAGTTGGATGAACGGTATATATAGCTTGCGTCAGCAAGTCGAATGTATGGTATGTATAGCTTGTGTCGGCTAAGAAATTGTAATAGTATATTAAGCTTGTGCCGGCAATTTGGATGTACGGTAAATTACGGTGTCCTTATCGTGCCATTTAGAATGTCGTCCGTCGCGTCTAAGGGTAGACACACGACAATGCGAAGTGACATCGCGACAATGCGAAGCGACGCTCGACAACGCGAAACGATATGCGACAATGCGAAGCGACGCTCGACAGTGTCAAACGATATGTCGCACTGTCGCCTAGAAATGTCGCGGTAAAAAAGGGCGACATTTAAGAAATGTCGCTTCGCGTTGTCGAGTGTCGCTTCGCATTGTCGAGCGTCGCTTCGCGTTGTCGCGATGTCACTTCGCGTTGTCGCGATGTCACTTCGCGTTGTCGCATTGTCACTTCGCATTGTCGAGTGTCGAGGTTGGTAGAAGTGCATACCACGACACTCGACAATGCGAAACGACAACGCGACAATGCGATACGACGCTCGACAATGCGAAGTGACACTCGACATCGCGAAGCGACATTTTTAAAATGTCGAGCAAATGTCGCGTTATTTTTATGATTTTTACACCGCGACGCTCAACATTGCGAAGCGACACTCGACAATGCGAAGCGACACTCGACAACGCGAAGCGACACTCGACAACGCGAAGCGACACTCGACAATGCGAAGCGACATTTGGAATAATATCGTATCGCATTGTCGTGCGTCTACCGGTGCTTGGTCAGAATTTACTAACTCACCGACAAACGGTGCGATCATGGAAGGGGTCGCACTAAACTGCTGACGAATTAGCTGACGATATAGATATATAGGAAACTGCTGACCAGTTAAATAAAGAAGGATTATCGGAAAATGCTGACCAGTTGCACAAAGAAGGGAAACATTGAAGGTGTGAAGTTATATAAACACGCCGTAGGGGGTAATAAAAAGATGGGAAATTACTTTTATTCTTTTAATTATATTTTTAATTTTTGCATTTACGAGGGTTGATCAATAAATTCGTGGACACACTCCATAAATTGTTTTTTTGGAGAAGGCTAGTTAATATAATTATATTTGACATTTATTCAATCATTTATCAATTTGATGTGTAAGTTTCAGATAGATAATCCGTATATTTTATCCGAAATGACAGTTTTCAGGAATACATGTAAAGCTGATCGCCGCAGCTCATTCGCAACTTACGTTACGTTGTGACGTCCGCGTTACATCTTCTCAAAAAAATGCAGCACCAACTTCTACACATCGTTCCATGCCTGTGTACCCACTGACTGAAAATGATCTTATACAATGAAGTATCAAATGAACGCAACACAGACAATGCTATGGACTGTAAATCATGGAACCAGGTTAACTTTTGTCCCTTTAACTATGCCTTCAATTTCACTCGCATAACGTTCGCATCGCAACAAGTTTCAATTGGTCTGCGGCATCTTTGTTCATCCTGAAGTTCTTCTCTACCCTCACAGAAGTGTATGTGTCACTTATGTACTAACAAATAAGACCCCTTTTTTTGTTCCAGATAATTTCCATGTTTTCTTTAGTTTGCTTTGGCATCATACCAAGATTTACACAGAACTTAATGACTGCTTTCTGCTCCAACAACGTCGTGCTCCTCTCTGGCGACACACCCCTGTCTCCATTAACATCTCTAACGAACAAAAGAAATCGTAGCGACGCTTGTTTTTTTAAATGTTCTTTAAAGGATATGAAAGAACATTGCCGTCATTTTTATATTTTAAGGAAGCACGCCAAAATAAGGACAATTATTAAGTATTTCAAAAGGGTAGTTATAACTTTTTTAAGCTGCGGCGTTAGTAGGGCATAGGGTTGCTATGGTGATACATATAATGAACAAACTGAAATTTGTTTTTAAAAAATCACGATATATTTGAATAGTATTAAATTCTTCTTCTAAATAGCGAAAAATCTTTATAATATCTTGATTAATTATTCAGTTATTAATAGTGTCCATGAATATATTGATCAACCCTCGTATATGACTATGTTTATAAACTAAATTAATATATACATTTAAAGTACCATAATATCATACATTTTAACACGGATTTACATTACTACATGTAATATAAATCCGTGATTTTAAAAGGATATATTAAACAGCTTTTTATACCTCTAAAGATATGCAAAAATTTGAATTAATGTTTTATAAAGAATTATGATGTTATGAGTTTTATCAAAATCTCTTGTTAGTGATATTTCAATAGAAAAATCTTGTAACGGAAAAAAAAATGTATTTTTCAAAAGCAATAATTGCAATTTGAATTAATATTAAATAAGTCAGCAGTGTTTTAACTTAATTAAATGTCGACAAAAATTTTATACAATATATTGAATTTCGTACATTATAAAATGAATTAAAAATTTCACGACAAAATATATTTTTTTCTATATTTCTAACTGGTCAGCAGTTTCCCTATATATCTAACTGGTCAGCAGATTCTACTACATGTGTATATGTTTAACTGGTCAGCATACATGTGTATATGTTTAACTGGTCAGCATGTTCTCGCCTGAATGTAAAGAGCGTTAAATTTGCTAACCATATAGAATAAGAAGAGTTTTACGGCTTAAATCAATTTGAAATAACATTAAATTGGTCAGCAGTGTTTTTACTTAATTAAATGTCGACATAATTTTAATAAAATAAATTGAATTTGCATACATAATAAAAATGAATTACAATTTCACGGCCAAAATATATTTTTCTCTATATATCTAACTGGTCAGCAGTTTCCCTATATATCTAACTGGTCAGCAGATTCTACTATATGTTTAACTGGTCAGCATTTTCTCGCCTGAATGTAAAGAGCGTTAAATTTGCTGACCATATAGAATAAGAAGACTTTTACGGCTTAAATCAATTTGAAATAATATTAAATTGGTCAGCAGTGTTTTTTACTTAATTAAATGTCGACATATTTTTATAAAGTATATTGAATTTGCATACATTATAAAATGAGTAACAATTTCACGGCAATATATATTTTTCTCTATATATCTAACTGGTCAGCAGTTTCCCTATATATCTAACTGGTCAGCAGATTCTACTATATGTTTTAACTGGTCAGCATTTTCTCGCCTGAATGTGAAAGAGCGTTAAATTTGCTGACCATTATAGAATAAGAAGAGTTTTACGGCTTAAATCAATTTTGAATTAACATTAAATTGGTCAGCAGTGTTTTTACTTAATTAAATGTCGACATGATTTTATATAATATATAAAATTTGCATACATTATAAAATGAGTAACAATTTCACGG